CTAGAAACACACTACCTAAACTAACACAAACTGAAGTAGAAAATATGAACAGACCCATAGGAAATCTGAATAGACTCATAACGAGAAGAGATTGTAAAGGTAATAAAAAAAAGTCCCAACAAAAAAGAGCCCTGGCCTGGACATCTTCACTAGAGAATTCTACCAAACATTCAGAAAAGAGCTCATACCAGTACTACTCAAACTATTTCAGAGCATAGAAAAGGAAAGAATACTCCGAAATTCATTCTATGAAGCCCACATAACCGATACCAAAGCCAGGCAAAGACACCCCCAAAAATGAAAATTACGGACCAGTATCTCTCATGAATGTAGATTAAAAAATTCTCAACAAAATTCTAGCCAATAGAATTCAGGAGAATATAAAAAAATAATACACCACGACCAACTGGGATTCATACCAGGTATGCAAGGATGGTTCAACATCAGAAAATCAATCAGTGTAATCCACTACATAATTCTAACAAAAGAATCACATAATCATCTCAATTGATGTAAAAAAGGCATTCAATAAAGAAGTCCAACACCCATTCCTGATAAAAACTCTCAATAAAATAGGAATAGAAGGGAAATTCCTCAACATAATAAGGGGCATCTATACAAAACCAACAACCAACATCATTCTTAATGGAGAGAGGCTGAAAGCATTCCCACTGAGAAGAGGAACAAGATAAGGATGCCTTTTATTACCACTCCTGTTTAACCTTGTGCTAGAAGTGCTAGCTAGAGCAGTAAGGCAAGAAAAAGAAAGAAATGGCATGCAAATTAGAAAGGAAGAAGTAAAACTGTCCCTGTTCACAGATGATATGGTCCTATGTGTAGAGAATCCCAAAGATTCTACAAGAAAACTGCTGGAACTAATGGAAAGATTCGTAAGAGTAGCAGGATATATGATCAACATGCAAAAATCAGATTTCTATACACCAAAAAAGAGAACTTTGCAAAGGAAATCAGGAAAAACAATATTTATAATAAACTAAAAAGATAAAATACTTGGGAAATCTAAGCAGGGACGTAAAAGATTTATGCAAAGAAAATACAAAACACTACTGCAAGAAATCAAAAGAGACCTACGTAAATGGAAAACCGTAAGCATGCTCATGGAAAATGTGAAAATGTCAATTCTCCCCAAAACAATCGATATAAAATGAAAATCATGATCCAGATAACAACAGTGTTGTTTAACAAGATGGAAAAACTAATCACCAGCTTTATATGGAAAGGAAAGAGGCCCGGATAAGCAAAGCATTACTCAAGAAGAAGAACAAAGTAGGAGGCCTTTCACTACCTGATCTCAGAACCTACTATATAGCCATGGTAGTCAGAACAGTCAGGTACTGGTACAACAACAGAAACATAGACCAATGGAACAGAATTGAAAACCCAGATGTAAATCCATCCACCTATGGTCAGCTGATCTTTGACAAAGGCCCAAAATCCATGAAATGGTAAAAGGACAGTCTTTTTAACAAATAGTCCTGGAAAACCAGATGCCCATTTGTAAATAAATGAAACAGGACCCATACCTTACACCATACACAAAAACTGACACAAAGTGGATCAAGGACCTTAATATAAAACTTAAAATGATAAAGATCATGGAAGAAAAAATAGGGGCAGCACTAGGGGCCCTAGTACATGGCATAAACAGAATACAAACCATAACTTACAATGCACAAACATCAGAAGGTAAATAACTGGGATCTCCTATATGTTAAACACTATGCTCATCAAGACTTCACGAGAAGAGTAAAAAGAGAACCAACAGACTGGGAAAAAAATTTTGGCTATGACATATCTGACAAGGGTCTAATCTCTCAAATCTGTACAATACTGTAACATCTCAACAACAAAAAGACAATCCAATTAAAAAATGGGCAAAGGATATGAGAAGACATTTCACCAAAGAAGACATTCAGGTAGCTAACAGACACATGAGGAAATGTTCCCGATCATTAGCCATTAGAGAAATGCAAATCAAAACTACAATGAGATACCATCTCACCCCAAAATTATCAAAAAAAACCCCAAAATAACAAATATCAGATAAGTTGGGGGTGATTGGAACTCTTATGCACTGATGGTGGGAATGTGAAATCATACAACCACTATGGAAAATGATACAGTGCCTCCTTAAAAAGGTAGAAATACCACATGATCCAGCAATCCCACTCCTAGGTATGTATCCTAGAGAAGAGCTGTCACACAAAGACATATGCACACCCATGTTCATTGCAGCGTTATTCACAATAGTAAAAAAGATGGAAACAACCTAAGTGCCCATCCATAGATGAATGGATATACAAATTATGGTACATGCACACAATGGAATGCTACATGATAAAGAACAGTGATGAACCTGCGAAACATCTCACAACATGGATGAATCTGGAGGGCACCATGCTGAGTGAAAAGTCAGTCACAAAAGGACAAATGGTGTATGAGACCACTATTACAAAAACTCAAGAAAACTTTACGTACAGAAAAAACAATATTTGATGGGTACACAGGTGGGCAGGGGAAATCTCTAACTGGATAGTAGACAAATGTTAAACTCCGGTGAAGGGGAAGAGTGCACACAATATAGGGGGAGTCAGCACAGCTTGACCAAGGCAAAGTCATAGAAGCTTCCTAGACACATCCAGACACTGAGGAACTGAGTTGGGGCTGAGGACTGGGGACCATGGTCTCTGGGGACATTCAGGTCACTTGGCATAACATAGTTCATAAAGAAAATTTTCTACATTTTACTTTGGTAGGTAGTGTCTGGGGTCTTAAAAGATTGCCAGCGGCCATCTAAGATACATCTGTTGGTTCCATCCTGTCCGAGCAAAGGAGAATGAAGAAAATTAGAGATACAAAGAAAATAGTCCAAAGGACTAATGGACCACATGAACCACAGCCTCCACCAGCCTGAGCCCAGAAAAGCTAGGTGGTGGCTGGTTACCACCACTGACCACTCTGACAAGGATCACAGTAGAGGGTTCCTGGACAGAGAGAAAAATGGAAAACAAAATTCACATTCACACAAAAAAAGACCAGACTAACTGGTCTGAAAGACTGGAGGATCCCCTGAGACTGTGGCCTCTGATGCCCTGCTAACTCAGAACTGAAACCACTCCCAAAGTCCACCTTTTGGCTATAGATTACACAGGTCTATAAAACAATAACACACGTGAGGAATGTGCTGCTTAGTTGAATCAAGTATACGAGACCAAATCGGCAACACCTGCCCAAAAGCCAAGATGAGAACACAGGAAGGAACAGAATAACTGGACGAATGGACATGGGCAATCCGAGGTGGAAATGGGGAGAGTACTGACATTTGGAGGGATTGCAACCAAGTCACAGAAAAATTGGTGTATAAGTTTTTGAATGAGAAACTAATTTGCACTGTAAACTTTCACCTAAAGCTCAATCAAATTAAAAAAAAATCAGATTTAGTATATCTGGGGTGGAAATGGAAATTCTCAGCAGGGGTTTGAACCAGAACAAACCGGTTTGAAGCCCTGGCCTACACATACCCAGGAGCTGCCCCACTTTGAGAAATATGAGAAATTGGCAGAGTTTTAATTAAATAAATGGTAGAGCTTTTTGTTTATTCAGGTAACTGGGAACTTTGTATAATTCTAATGTGTTATTTTCATGGAACGTAAGTTCAGAAAGTACCACCTGTTTTTTCTTACTGGAAATTTGAACCCTGTTCCTTAATTAAACGTAAAAATTCCCTAACTTGCTTAATTAAAATCAGTGTATAGCTTGTTAAGAGTTAAAGACAGGACTTTGAATCGGGTTCGTTTGCATTTCCACTTCAGATATACTGAATCAGAATCTACATTTTAACATCCCCAGGTGCTTCTTATGTAATAACTTCCTGGGAACTTGTTAGAAATGCAAATTTTCAGCAGGGGTTTCAGCTAGAATGAACAGGTTAGAAGCCCTGGTTAAGGAGTGTGAGTCTGGATTGGAAAAAAGACATTCTGTTTAGCTGCCTTGCTTTCCGCAGGTGTAAGCATTTCCTGGGTAATCCTTTTCATAGCAAGAGGGTTGATGAGCTGTTTATTATAGAATATGGGTTGGCAAACTGGCCTGCAGGCTGAATCTGGCCTATCACCTGTTCTTGTGAATTTTACTGGAACACAGCCATTCCATTACACCTGGTTGCTTTGGGGCTAGAATGGCAGTTGAATAGCTGCGACAAAGACCACATGACTTGCAAAGCCTAAAATATTTACTATCTGGCCCTTGACAGAAAAACTTTGAAGGCCCTGATTCTGGAATATTTAACCATGGGACCTTTTCATGTTGTCCGAGTTAATTTTTCATCCGTGACGTTTAAAGAGTGGGTTTAGGTTTCTTATTGTCAGTGATCTCAGTGGGGTCACCTGTAGGATCACTGATGTGACCATAAAGAAGAAACAACTCTTCAGAAGTGCACTTCCTCCAGTGCTCTCTCTCCCTCATCATGGAAGGCATACACCTGTTGAGCATTGCTTTGCCTTGAGGCATTGAGTTGGCTTTCCCAGCAGCCAGGTGTCACCCACACATCATTAGCACAGAGCAGAGATTGACCTCTGCGTGCCCTCAGTTTATTGAACTACGTCTCCATCTTGACCATTCTTTTGTAATCCCTAGAGGAGTAATGAATGTTTGAGCCTTTTCTGAGTCTCATCTACCTTATATTTTTACCATGGACTCATAGGAAGCATTAGAGAGAGAAGGGTTCCCCCCGGTGCACACCCCGGGGTAGCACAGTGCCTTGCAGAAACTGCTGGGTGAATGACTGAGTGCCTTGTGCAGAGCGTGTATTGGATAGGTCTTTTCTACCAAGTTGAGGAGTCTCATTGGCACAGCCTCCGCTTTGCAGAGCTCCCTTTTCCTCCTTTTTCCCATGACATGCTGCTGTGTCTTAATTCACGTCATAGAGAAAGCTCAGTCATTTTTATGCCAATAACCATTGATTATTTTTCCTCTTTTCCCAGGCAGTGGTTATCATGGGCGTAGTGCTACAAGGTGCCAATCTGTATGGCTACATCAGATGTAAAGTAGGCAGCAGAAAGAATTTAACCAGCATGGCTACCTCTTACCTTGGAAAGCAGTTTTTAAGACAGGTAAGTGTCTTTTTGGGTGTGAGGGTAATTTTGGTGTTGTCAGTGATTTCTAACTCTTCTAGAGCTTAATTTTTGTGAAATAAGCACATATTTGTTTAAATGTCTGATGATGATTAAGTTGTTTTAGTTACTCTTTTGAATGCTTTTAGGACATTCCAAAAATGTATTGTCAGTGTCCTGAAATTGTTCTAAACCAGGAGGGATAGGAGTTCAAGGAATGACACCATAGGGCCTTAATTTTCAGCTGTCATTGATAATAACTTTTTTTTTTAATTTCCTTAAGTTCAGTTGCTTTTGATTAATTATGGTAGCTCTAAATGAACAATTTTAAAGAATCTTTTTTGTATGGTTTTAAGTATATAGCAAGAACAAGTTGGAACAAAATATCACCATATTAAAATTGTCTTAAGGTCCTCAGAGTCCTGCTCTCCCCCCTCAACATACAGGATTCTACTGTGATTCCCCAATAGGAGGATTTGAATCAGGGTTTTCAATGTGATAAATAGTATTCCTAGGTAAATAGCAGATTAGTTAAATCTCTTGTGCAATGGACTAGGTCTTTATATGAGTACCACCTTGCATTTGTTGAGTGCAGTCTGTACAGCAAGTAGTGTTAAATAGCACAGCTCAAACTTGATTGCGCGTCAGAATCACCCAGAAGACTTGTTAAAACAGAGATTCCTGGGCCCTTACCCCTACTCACTAGATCTGGGGTGGGGTCTTATAATTTGCATTTCTAGTAAGTTTCCAGGTGGTGCTGATGCTGCTTGTCCAGTGATTACACTTCAGATAACTATAGCCCTGTGGGATTAGGTACCTTTCTCAGGGACATACAGCTAATAAGTGATTTAAAACTCGGGTTTGAACCCACTTCTCCTGACTTGAATTTTATTGTTCTTTCCATTGTTTAGTTTCTCTCATAAAAGATATGAGGTAGAGAAAACTAATATTCTTGTAGGGACATGATTATCATCCTGAAGGTATTTTTATGTGGCCCTAATACACCTTTGCTGTAATCTACCTTATGGTAATTGCCATGTGTGTGCTTAATAGGTTTTTTCCTTAGGATTTTCAGTGTTTCTCAAGCAGGAAGGATGTTGAGTGGAGGTGAAATAGTCTTGAGAGCCTGATATAACATGGTTGGGGTTAGTAGAGGTCCATGGCACCTGGTGACACTCTGCAGAAATGGGACATCATGGGCGTCTGATGGATGATGGTGCCCATTCATTTCCTGCTCCACTGTGTGCAGTGTTAACATCCTTGGGCCAGTGGGTGTGAGGTAATTTAGTGGCTGGCTTTGCTTATAAATGTGGAATGTTTCCTTAGGCCTGTTGCTTTGAAGTCTGTGGTATGTTAAGTGAAATAACATTTAATATTAAGGACTTCTTCTCTTTTGCAGAATGCGGGAGATGATCAGACTTCCTAAGGAGAGAAAGCTCATGTGTTCTGTTACACTGGGGAACAACTGAAAAACTTCCTGACTCTGAACCTTTCAGAGCTCAGTACAAGTTGCATAGAGTAGTATTGGGTTTGTTTTTCCATTTACAATTATTATTTTCAAAAAACAGTGGTTTTATTTTCTTTCTGGCAGTTAAGGATTGAAGGTATGGTGTCACTAGAAGCCTTATCACAATGTACTTTGTGGTGTGCTTGTGCTTGCACACAGTCTTGTGATATCCATATATCCCCAGTGAATTAAAGTGCATCTGTAATGGAGACCTGTATATTTTCATCCCTAGTTATTTGTAGAAGGATGTTCTTTGTCTTAAAGTTCTGTGTATTTACATATTGTTTCTGTTGATGATTTTAAAAAGAAAATTTGCTTCTGTGGAAGAGTAAGCACTTTGGTTTATCTTTATGTTAGAAATAATTTTATCTGAAACATACACAAACAAGTAAAAACCAAATTTGGGCCAGTGGTGTTAACTGGTTTCTAAAATTTTATTTTCATTTGTAACAAGTCATATACTGAAGGGTCAATTCATATAAATGGAATCTTTATAGCTTATATTAATGGATTCCTAGAGTTTGTTGCTGTTCTATTTATTTTATGGAAAGGTTAGCCAGATTTTACTTTCGAATTTCCTGGAAGCTCTTCAGTGATCCCTGGCCAAATGAAATCTATCTTTCACCACTCAGTGAGTATTATTCTTATGTCATAGTGAGAATAATCATTCAAATACTTGGCATAGTAAATGCCTAAAGGACATTTTGTTTTATGAATCTATTTTTTCTTGCTATAATGGGATATTGTAAATCATGCATTTGTATTAATGATATTTCTTAAAGCAATATATTTAACTGTAAACTAAACCAGCCTGCACAAACTATTGTAGGAATCTAAATTCTGTTGTAGGTACTGTACACGTGGGAGTGTTTTAATCAGCATATTATTTTGTGATTGTATTTATACATTGTTAAAATTTTTTAATTGAATGTCTATTGGAGTGGTAGCTTTGACGGTGCGTAACTTTATATTTGTATAAAACATGACTGTTTACAAACGCACTTGGACTTGTGTACTCTCATTTAACCCTCACAACAGGCCTATTATATGTGATCTCTGCTTACAGGTGGTGAAGCTGAACCTCAGGTTTATTGGCTGCCAAGGAAGCACAGATTACAAGAGCCATCAGGATTTAGGATGTTCTTAAAGGAAATATTTGTGTCTAAATATCTTTTCCTTTCTTAAAAATAAAACAGTTACCATCAAGTTTATTCAGACTCATGGCAATCCCATGTGTGTCATAGTAGAACTGTGCTCCGTAATGGCTGATTTTCTGGAAGTAGGTCATCAGGCCTTTCTTCCGAGGTGCCTTTGCATGGATTTGAACCGCCACCTTTTGGTTAGCAGCCAAGTGCATTAACTGTGTCACCCAGCGATATTTATATACTTACTTAGGGAACATTAATTTATTAAGTGCTTGTTTACAGTTTTACCTTAATATTTAGCTATTTCATCGAGTGAGATTAGTTGATACTATACCAAAGACATGTTTTTATTTATTCTGAAAGTCTGTCAGGGGACATACTGGTATAGTTCTTGAAGTAACTATATTGTGTATTTAAACTTGCAATCCTAAACCAAATATGAATTGAATTTAGGAATATGCATGTGGCAGGATCTGCCACTTTCCCCCCAGTATCCATTTTCTCCATCTGTAGTAATAGAACCTCCACTTATTAACTGGAACAGAGCAGCCTGGAATAAAGACGACTTTTCCTAGATTTCCTTGCTGCATAAGTTCCAGAGTGCATCATGTTGCAGATGCATAGCTAAGATTGAGATAGGTGAGATTGTTTACTACGGGTTGCGTGTAGCAGAGACTGTAGTGCTCATCAAATACTGTTAGTTCCCCTACATTGCCCAGTTCCCTGAATTAGCGGGGGGCCATGTGGCTAGTTCTAGCCAGTGAAATGTGTCAGTTCTGGGGGAAGAAGGTGACCGTCTTCACATGACATCTCCAACCTTACCCTTCTGTGGCAGCTGGTGGCGTTTAAGATTGTGGAACCTCTGTCATCTTGGGTCCCTGGGTGACTTGTAAAGCAGAATCTTATTTCCTACTCCTGTTGGACAAATAGCACAAGTGAGAGAGAAACCTTTGGCAAGCTAAGCCAGTTGACTTCCTGGTTAATTTGTTTCTGTAACATAATAACCTATTCTGACTACTGCAGTTTTGCAACTGGTAAATGATACTCAGCTTAAAAAAAAAATCCTTGTTCAGTAATCTTTCTAGTGCTTCATACTATTTCCTGTTGCAAGAAAAGAAATTGAGATTCCTTGCCCCTTAGTGCAGCGTTGCAAATTTTGGTGGGGCCTAGAGATGCTGTAAATGGGTGACATTAACCAAGGAAAACTCAACTAGGAGATCCGCATCCAATCTAAGGGACCAGAAGCTTCTCACCTCCCACCATGCATTTGTTGCCAGGCCCCTGTCTTGCTAGATCTTTCAGCTTTTCAAGAAAAATAAATCTGGATGCTTATATGAAGTTTGATCTTTAAATGCTTGTAAATTAAATTTAAAAAGAAAACGTGCAAGGCCAAACTAAACATTTGCAGGTCAAATCCAGCTGTGGCTAACCGTTGCTGTTAGTGCAATGATATTCAAATGTTTTTAAACTAGTGGAACTCGTTCCTTCTAATAAAGCCTTTTGTGAAGTCCTAGTATCTATAGTAAGGAAAGTAGAACTGTTCTGGTAGAAGCACGATTGGGGGTCCTGAACGACCAGCTCAGCCCTGACCTCCAAGGAACCCCTGCCAGGAAAGTGAAACCAAAGTCTACTGATTTTAAAGGGTACATGCTAAAATGGTATGCAAATATACTTTCCAAATAAAATGTAAATGTCTAATTCTTGTAAGAAGAGTGGAAGCACTCCTTAAAGCGTTTATATTGTAATTCTTACAAGAAAGGAGGAAACAGCATTTCCTCAAGAAGTCATAATTTAGTGCCAAGAAAAATTTAATCTCATTTTCCAGCTAGGATTAATTTTTTAAAAAATTAAAAAGACACACATAACCAGGAAAGCAAGTCACACAGAAGAGCTTACAAAGAAAAGAGTCCATCCTACCCCCAATTCTGTTCCCAGGAGCAAACATCTTTAACTGTTTCTGTTTTTATATTTTCGGGTAGTTAACCCCCATATCTCTAAATAATGTGCTTACAGTGTTCCTTGGTTTATCAACTTTATATGTTAACTGTTGACTTCTGCTATGAAAACTGAACACTAAAATACCCCCTACACCCCATGTAGAGCATTGCAGTGTTAAAGGTGCTACATACACCTCTCTTTATTCTGTAAGTTATACCTGTTGACTTCTATTAGTTAGGAATTTGTTCAATTACAAATAACAGTGGTTTAAAAGCAAATAATAGTGGCTTAAACAAAAAAGCTTTTTTCTTTTCCCTCACACAGGAAGTCTGGAAGTAGACAGTTAGCTTGGTGTTGATTCAGCTGCTCAACGATTCCTTCCAGGACCCTGATACTCCACCGTCCTCAGCTGGTTCTTGTCGCCATGCTCATTGCCTCATGGTCACAAGATGACTGCCACACCTGAAGAGGACACGTCGGGTTTTAAAGGAAAGAATAAGAAACCCCAGTTGCGTTTGTTTAATTTTTTTTTCAGGAAAGCAGATGCTTTCTTGAAATCACAGGAGACTTTTGCTGCTTCTATTTATGTCTCATTGGCCAAAGTGGTGTCCCCACCCCCCATCCCCAGTGTAAGGAAGCCTGGAAAAGCAGATATTTCGCTAGCTGCCTTAAATGAGTTGAGGTTTTGTTAGTAAAGAAGGAAAGGGACACTAGGTAGGCAATGGGCACTGTCTGCCACACTCTTCTCATGTAGGGCTTTATGCAGAGGACGGTGAATGCTGCATCACCCATGCTTTCAGCATCGTTTCTATAATAAGAAATGACTTTATATAGACAATTTTTTTTTTGCCACCTTTTAATGCAAAACTATTAAAGTACTTGTTAAGATTGTTCTGTCAGGGTGTAGGCTGATGTACTCTAAGCATGTATCCCTGCTTTAATGTGATTCAGGGATTGGATTCCAAACTGGTTTTCATGGGCATGGTGCCACTCCCAGGGTAGGGTGTTTATGAAATTGGCCAGGGTGGGGAGGGTGAACACAGTGATTGGTGGGATAACACGGGTATCTGGTGGGTGGAGGCTGTGGATGCTAGGCACCTGCAGAGCACGGGTTCTGCACAATAAAACAATTGTCCTGTGTTTCTCGTAACTTCTAAATACCCTACTGGGTGTTTATGTGTGTGAAGATCCTGTTTATAATGAGAAAGAAAAAGCAGCCTCTGACAGCTCACAGTTGAGAGCTGGCCAGGCCCTAATGGCGAGGCCATGACGTTCTCTTCTCAAACACAGCAATTTTTACAGAACAAAATTGTGTCTTGGAATGAGACAAAGACGAGAGCACTGTTGGAGCATAGAAACAACACTGCAGACCACAAAAAATTATCAGATATCCCCTCTCCTGGACTATGTGAGTGACTGCTGCTGCTTTACCAATTACAGCTTCAGCCCACTCTGTTCCTCCTGCCTCCTAGATGAAAGCCATTAAGATACCTGCTCATAGAATTCCCCAGTCCAGAGTCAAACCATGTTCCATGGAATGCTACTTGAAATCACCAGACAAGCCCAAATTCTAAATTAGCCCTAATAACTCTCAAGATCCCTGACTGGAACAGTCTGTTTGCACTCAATGACTACTAAGCTAAAGGTTGGTGGTTTGAACCCACCCACCACACTGTGGAAGTAAAGCCTGGTGATTTGCCTCTGGAAAGATTATAGTCAAGAAAACCCTATGGAGCAATTGTACTCTCTAACATGTGGAGTCACCATGAGTCAGAATCAACTCAATGGCAAATGGGACAGAGGCATCCTGTGATTCCCCATGGTGTGCAGTCTCCATTGGGCAACAATAATAATCGGAGCCTAGACCATAGCTCCATTTTACATATAAAAACTTCATTTTACATTTTTAAAAACATATTTGCAATTCTTGATTTATCCAGAAATGCAATTACCAAACAAATGAGGGGGGATTGTACTGTTTGTTCAACACTTCACCAAGACGGTTTTTTGTTTTGCTTTTTACCATTTTGAAAACTCCTGTGCCCAGTAGCAGCATTGCTCATGGACTGAGCATCAGTCTGCGTTTGTAGTAGCTACATTCACAATTCTAGTTTGGTTAGCTAGACTGACCAAGGTAAAAAGACTCAGACCTGATTTACAGGAAAAGCAATCCTCATTGAATACTGTTGTAAAGTGAATGGTTACTCCAATAGAAGATAAAACATTTTGCACCTGTTTGTGGGGAACATATCTATTATGTAAATGTTACACTCAAACGGTGCGCATTCTCCAAACAGTGCTTTCCATGAATTGTTTCATCCTCACAACAGGTTTAGAATCAAGAGGTTGTATTTAGTATAATGTAGTCATAAAGGGCTTGAGTTTGTTTCAGGCAGCCTGGGTTGTGGATCCAACTTCATCTCCTGGTATTGACATGGAGCAATATACTTACCCCATTTTAACAGAAGAGACAGTAGGCTAAGAGACATATGTAAAAGTACCTACCCTCTTAAGGCAGGGGAAAAGTGGTATTCACGAGGATTAAATGAGATAATCCATGTAAAATGTTCAGCATAGTTCCAAAACATAGTAAGCACCCCATAATGGTAACTGTTATTCAGAAAGGAAAAACGACTTGCCTTGCTAGCGAAATGTAGAACAGTCTGGAAATCCAACCCCTAGTTCAGTCAATCCCTAGGCTCCTCTTTAATTTAGGTTCCCATTTAAGATGGCATGGAGAATCTAAATGAAGCAAAGCAATCAGTTGTAGGAAATAATGTTAATTTTATTTTATTTTGGTTAGAACAAGTTAGAAACATTATATGATTGTGAGCTGGTAACTTGATACAGTGTTCATCTCTATTTTATATTTAAAAATGTTGTCATTTATGTTTTTCAGATAGTTGTTAAATCCAACAACAGTATAGATAAGTCTTCATACTTTATTTATTCTCAACTGGGTCAAAAGAGGGGCCCAAACCAAGAAAACCAAACCCATTGCTGTGAAGTCAATTCCTACTCATCGTGACCCTGTAGGACAGAGCAGAACTGCCTCCATAGGATTTCCAAGACTGTAAATCTTTACAGAAGCAGTCTCCACATCTTTCTTCCATGGAGCAGCTGGTGGGTTCAAATCGCTGACCTTTCGGTTAGCAGCTGAGCGCTTAACCACTGCGCCACCAGGGGTCCTCAAAGAGGGACCCAGTACCCTTTTTTTTTTGCTTGTGATTTGATCAGAGTCCACTAGATGGCAGTACACAAACACCAGATAGAAATGAAACCAGCTGTGTCCTTTTATCACCATATTTACTTGGCTAATGGGAAATGATAGCTTTCCTGGAAAATTAACCTATAAATGGTGAGTTAGGACTAAATTTAGGTCTCCTATTGTGTAATTAACATCAGTTCTGATGATGAAATAGATGCTGAATGAATAAATACAAAAATATCCTCAGCACTTGCCATGTATCAGACACAAAAATTGGTACTGCATCCAGCACAACTAAATAGTGCCTGGCTACCACCGACTGCTCTGACAGGGATCACAACAGAGGGTCCCAGACAGAGCTGAAGAAAAACGTAGAACAAACTTCTAACACAAAACAGACTTACTGGCCTGACAGAAACTGGAGAAACTCCAAGAGTATGGCCCCCGGACACCCTTTTAGCTCAGTAATGAAGTCACTCCTGAGGTTCACCCTTCAGCCAAAGATACGACAAGTCCACAAAACAAAAGAAGACTAAAGGGGCACACCAGCCTGGGGGCAAGGACTAGAAGGCAGGAGGGGACAGGAAAGCTGGTAATAGGGACCCCAAGTTCGAGAAAGAGTGTTGACATGTCGTGGGGTTGGTAACCAATGTCACAAAACAATATGTGTACTAGTTGTTTAATGAGAAGCTAGTTCTGTAAACCTTCATCTAAAGTACAATAAAAAAATTATAAATAAAAAAATCAGATTCCTCTACACTAACAAAGATAACTCTGAAAAGGAAATTGGGAAAACAATACCATTTACAATAGCCTCTAAGATAAAATAATTAGGAATAAACCTAACTAGGGATGTATCAGGTTATAATAAAATGGAATATATAAAGGTCGATATCCCAGGCATTAGTGAGCCTAAGTGGACTGGTATTGGCCATTTTGAATAAATCATACAGTCTACTATGATTGTCTGATTCAATGATAAATTGTAGAGGAATGGTGTTGCATTCATCGTCAAAAAGAACATTTCAAGATCCATCCTGAAGTACAACACCATCAGTAATAGGATAATACCTATACACCTACAAGGAAGACCAGTTAATTATTATTATTCAAATTTACGCACCAACCACTGATCCAAAGATGAAGGTTTTTTACCAACTTCTGAAGTCTGCAATTGATCAAACATGCAATCGAGATGCATTGGTAATTACTGGTGATTGGAATGTGAAAGTTGGAAATGAAGAAAGAATGGTAGTTGGAAAATATGGTCTTGGTGATAGAAATGATGCCAGAGATCACAGGATAGAATTTTGCAAGACCAACGACTTCTTCATTGCAAATACCATTTTTCAACCACATAAACGTCGACTAAACACATGGACGTCACTGGATGGAAAACACAGAAATCAAATCGACTACATCTGTGGAAAGAGACCATGGAAAAGCTCAATGTCATCAGTCAGAAGAAGGCCAGGGGCCAACTGTAGAGCAGACCATCAACTGCTCATATGCAAGTTCATGCTGAAGCTGAGGAAAATTAAAGTCCATGAGAGCCAAAATGTGACCCTGAGTATATCCCACCTGAATTTGGAGTCCATCTCAAGAAAAGATTAAACACATTGAACACTAATGACCAAAGACCAGATGAGTTGTGGGAAGACATCAAGGACACTATACACGAAGAAAACAAAAGATCATTAGAAAGACAGAAAAGAAAGGAAAGACCAAAATGGATGTCAGATGAGACTCTGAAGCTTGCTCTTGAATGTAGAGTAGCTAAATCGGATGGAAGAAATGATGAAATAAAAGAGCTGAACAGAAGATTTCAAAGGGCAATTTGAGAAGACAAAGTAAAATAATGAAATGTGCAAAGACCTGGAGTTAGAAAACCAAAAGTGAAGAACACTCTTCGCATTTCTCAAACTGAAAGAACTGAAGAAAAAATTCAAGTCTCAAGTTGAAATTTTGAAGGATTCTATGGGCAAAATATTAAACAACGAAGCATCAAAAGCAGATGGAAGAAATATACAGAGTCACTGTACCAAAAAGAATTGGTCAACGTTCAGCCATTTAAGGAGATAACATATGATCAGGAACCAATGCTATTGAAGGAAGAAGTCCAAGCTGCACTGAAGGCATTGGTGAAAAACAAGACTTGAGGAATTAGTGGAATACCAACTGAGATGTTTCAGCAAACATATGTAGCACTGGAGGTGCTCACTCATCTATGCCAAGAAATTTGGAAGAAAGCTACCTGGCCAACTGACTGGAAGAGATCCATATTTGCACCCATTCCAAAGAAAAGTGATCCAACAGAATGTGGAATTATCAAACTTATCATTACTATCACACGCAAGTAAAATTTTGCTGAAGATCATTCAAAAGCAGTTGCAGCAGTAC